AGCTACTTGGGAGGCGGAGGCAGGAGACTCGCTTGAGCCCAGGAGTAGGAGGTTGCTGTGAGCTGTAATGCCACGGCACTCTACCCAGGGGGACAGCTTAAGGCTCTGTCTCAAAAAAAAAAAAAAATTCCTGTTCTACCTCATGTCCTATTTCTGTTCCACTAGCCCGTCCAGCATGCAATATTACATTGAATTGCCATGTCTCTTTAGGCTCCCCTTGGCTGTGGGAGCCAAAACTTTTGACAACTTTAGGGGATAATTGGTATTCTGTGGTATGGTCCACTATTAGAATTTGCCTGGACCTGGTGCAGTGGCTCATGCCTGTAATCTTAGCACTGTGGGAGGCGGAGGCGGGTGAATTGCCTGAGCTCACGAGTTTAAGACCAGCCTGAGCCCGAGTGAGACCTTGTCTCTAAAAAATAGTGAGCCATTGGGGCGGGCACTTGTAGTCCCAGTTACTCGGGAGGCTGAGGCAAGAGAATCACTTGAGCCCAAGAGTTTGAGGTTGCTGTGAGCTGTGATGCCCTGGCACTCTACCCAAGGGGACAAAGTGAGACTCTTTCTCAAAAAAAAAAAAAAAAAGAAGAAAGAATTTTCCTGATGTTTTTCTCATGATTAGGCTTGGGTTATTAAGTTATTAAGAGAACAACCACAGAAGTGCCATTTTTATCACATCATGTCAAGGGGCAATACAATCGACACAACTGATTACTGTTGATGTTGCCCTTGAACCTGGCCAAGACAGTGTTTCTCAGGTTTCTCTAGTGCAAAGTTACTCCCTCCCCCAGCTTCCCATACTGTGTTCTCTGGATGGAGTGTCACTGTGTGCAGCCCACATCTACGCTCTCCCTCTTTTAGTACAGAGTATCTACAGAAATTATTTGGAAGATTTACCTCTTCTCCATTTATTAATTTATTCATTATTTATTCATTGATATCAATATGTACTCACGGATGTTTATTTTATAGGCTGGGTTAGAATCTAATACCGCTTTATTTTATTTGCTCAAATTGCTCCAGCTGTTGCTGCTGGGAGCTCTTTCCGTGGGCCCTGTGTCCCTCTACCACCCTCCCATCAATGCGGTCTTTCCCCCATTGGTTCCTTCCCATGCTGTAGGGTGAACAGAGCTCTCAGCACACTCACCAAGATGTCTCCTTGCTCCACAGTGTGGATCTTGATGTATGTGCCCACCATAGCCTCCACAGGGAGCTCGCCATACTTGGTATTGATCATGGGACATTTGACCACCTGAGCATGCTTGGATCTGAAATTTGACAGCTTGTTAGAACTAATCTATGACACAGCTAGCTTGAGGAGGGCCCTGCCTAATCAGCCTTCCCAGAAGGTAAGAAAACTCAAAATTGAGCCCTGAGAGAGACTGACTCCCATTGCCAGGAACTGGGGACATGTGACATGCAACAGGGAGGAGACCTGGGTGGAGAAAGTGCTGGGGCCCCTTTGAACACCTGGAAGCTGCTCTGTGGAGGGAGGGACTGAGGAGCCTATAGCTGGGCCAGGCTGGATGGGCAAGATGTCTGGGCCCACTTATGCTCAACACGAGAAGGATATTGCTAACAGAACTGTCTGAGTAATCCCTGTATTCCTGGGGACACACGAAAAGTTAAGGCTCTTCTTGACAGGATGCAGAGAAGAGATGGCTTGTTTATTTGTCTACAAAGACCAGTTTCCTGGGTGGCCTGAAGACCCTGTACTTTGTATTGAAGCTAATTTTACACAGGCAGTCCTGTTGTGGTTTCTTTGGTCTGTCTAGTAGAAGGATGAGACAGACTATACTATTTGAATTAGAGGTAGGGAAAAGATTATTTACCAGCTGAGAGCGTAGCTGGGCTCACTAGCACATAAGCAAGACAGGCTTCAATTCCCACCCCACCAGGGCCTGTATACAAATGTGAACGACACGTGCCAGGCATGTCCTTTCTTTTTCCTTTCTGGATCCAACCCATCCCTTCTCCCTTACTGATTCACAACAGAGAAACTGGGTCTGTTCCATCTCTACCTTCAGAAGAACTGGGACTCAGATTTCAAGCCCTGGATTCCTTGGAATGAATATCCATCAGAAGAGAAAACAACTCAGAAGTGATGCAGGAGGTGAGTAGCTTGGAGGTGTTAACGGGCAAAGGACTCGAGTGAAGTGGGCCTTGGAGTGACATGGGGACTGTGACACTGATGCCATTATGATATTTTAATTACAAATGTAATGAGGGGAGGGGGCTATGCTGCTCTGGGCTCAGTGTTGAGCTGATTCTAGGCCAGTTCCCACTGAATGTCCTGTTCTGCCCCTCGTCTTCTCCAGGAAAGGCAAAAACAGTCCTCAGTATGTACGGCCCTCACACCAGTAGTGACAATTGTAAAGACTGAGCCTTAACAAGATACTCAAATCTAAATCCTGGCTTGCCACTTCTTACCTGTGTGATCTGGATCTTAACCTTTCTCTGTACCCTGGTTTTCACACTTGAAAAATGGGAGTGATGGCTTGACGCCTGTGGCTCAAGTGGCTAAGGCGCCAGCCACATACACCTAAGGTAGCGGGTTCAAATCCAGCCAGGGCCCGCCAAACAACATTGATGGCTACAACCAAAAAATAGCCAGGCGTTGTGGCGGGTGCCTGTGATCCCAGCTACTTGGGAGGCAGAGGTAGGAGACTCGCTTGAGCCCAGGAGCTGGAGGTTGCTGTGAGCTGTGATGCCACAGCACTCTACCCAGGGGGACAGCTTGAGGCTCTGTCTCAAAAAAAGAAAAATGGGAGTGATAATAATAATATTTTCTCATGGAGTTATTATAAGGATTAAATCAGATAATTCTCAGGCACAGAAGAGTATTCTCATTTAACTGCTAATTAATAAGAACCTTGATACTTAGATACTATTATCTAGAAAGAAATAAGGCTTAGAGAGGTCAAATCCTCTCTAAGGAGGAGAGAGGCCAGGCCAGGATCTGAACCTGGGTTGGACTGACTCCAAACCCAGGTGCTTATTACTGGGCTGTAACTGCCTCCCTTAGATGGGCAGAATTTTCTGCAGAAGCTCAGAGTCAAAAGGACTCAGCAGTGCACATACCAAGTGAATGTCAGAGCCAGAACGTCTGTCCTCCTCTCCCTTCCTTAAGTGAAAAGTAGTAGCTGACCATCTAATGTACCCCTGTGAGGCCAAGGCCGAGAAGGTAGGTCCTAGATAGCAAACCAAGGGCCTTTCTAGGCTGGCTGTCTCACACACACAGTCATCCCTTTGGGATGGGCTTGTGCCTGCCACCTCTGCCCCTTCCCCAGCATCTCTGACATTCAGCCATGTAAGTTATAGCCCCCTTTTCAATCACAATCTGGGCTCTTCCATGTGCCAAGGGCTAAGCTTACTTGATTTTAGGGCCAAAAAGCTTTGGGAGACTATCTCCTGAGGTTTTGAGTGTCCTACTGAAACGTGACCCCTCTTGACTCCAGGCTTTCTGGAGTTGCAGAAGTTTCAAATAGCTGAAGTCCTGTAGAGGATATGATTTGATCTGGAAGTCCTTAAATCTCTGCTTAGGAGAGGGTTCTGTTAAAAAAAGCACAGGAAAACATTAATGGGTCTTTGTATACTTGGCAGGTAAGATTCGGGGGTGGGGGGAAATGTATCATAGGAACCTGCCTGGGTAGTCTGGCACACAAGGGAATTAAGAGAAAAAGAAAAGAAAAACACTGTGGGCTCGGCGCCTATAGCTCAACCGGCTAAGGCGCCAGCCACGTACACCTAAGGTGGCGGGTTCGAATCCCCAGCCCGGCCCCGCCAAACAACAATGATGGCTGCAACCAAAAAATAGCCGGGCATTGTGGCGGGCGCCTGTGGTCCCAGCTACTTGGGAGGCGGAGGCAGGAGACTCGCTTGAGCCCAGGAGTTGGAGGTTGCTGTGAGCTGTAATGCCACGGCACTCTGCCCAGGGGGACAGCTTGAGGCTCTGTCTCAAAAAAAAAAAAAAAAAAAAAAAAAAAAAAAGAAAAACACTGTGACCTCCAGGTAACATCCCTGTGCTAGAGCCTTCCCAAGTGTTACATTCAGATAAGTGTAATTAGCCTAATCTAGGAGATAAGATGAACAGCAGAGAGTTCCAGCCACCTAGAAAAGGACTGAAGCTTGGATTTGAATTCAGGTCTGTTTGACTAAAACCTAACTATCATTCCATTAACAGATCACACTTATCCCAGCTTTTAAACTAGGATTTCAAATTGGGGCAGGGGTGACAATAAAAGATAGATGGATGACTAGGACTAGTCATCCTTAGAGCCCTTGGAGGACCACCGTAAGGACTACAGATAAAGTGTGGGATATACTCAGTGCCAGCATATATGGGGCCCTCTATAAGTTATTAAAATGATCTCCAAAGAAGTATAATTCAGAAATAAAAAGAAGCAAACCAAAAATACTATGCTGAGTCAAAAAAACCAGACACAGAAGAATCCATACTGTGTGATTCCATTTATATGAAACCCTGGGAAGATAAATATAACCTGCAGGGATAGAAAGCTGATCAGTTGTTGCCTAGGTCAAGGGTGAAGGGTAGAGATTGACTGGGGAGTGAAGGACCTTTTAGGGGTGATGGAAATGTTCTATAACTTGATTCTGGTGGTTACACAGAGGTATACATTTGTTAAAATTCATTGGACTACATATGTAAAATGCATGCATTTTACTGTATAAGAATTATACCTTGGGCTGGGAATAGTGACTCACACCTGTAATCCTAGCACCCTGGGAGGCCAAGGTGGGAAGATTGCCTGAGCTCAGGAGTTCTAGACTACCCTGAGTAAGAGTGAGACTTCATCTCTACTAATACTAGAAGAACTAGGGGGGCATTGTGGTGGGCACCCGTAGTCCCAACTACTCAGGAGGCTGAGGCAAGAGGATTGCTTGAGCCTAAGAGTGAGGTTGCTGTGAGCTACAATGTGATGACGGCTCTCAATCCCAGGGCAACTGAGTGGGACTCTGTCTCAAATAAATAAACAAACAAAAAGTATACCTCAATAACATTTATTGAAAAAGAGACCTCTAGTGTTAAATCAACTATGAAAATTAATGTTAACAAAATAAATCTGGGGCTCGGCGCCTATAGCTCAACTGGCTAAGGCGCCAGCCACGTACACCTAAGGTGGCAGGTTCGAATCCCCAGCCCGGACCCGCCAAACAACAATGACGGCTGCAACCAAAAAATAGCCAGGCGTTGTGGCGGGCGCCTGTGGTCCCAGCTACTTGGGAGGCGGAGGCAAGAGACTCGCTTGAGCCCAGGAGTTGGAGGTTGCTGTGAGCTGTAATGCCAGGGCACTCTACCCAGGGGGACAGCTTGAGGCTCTGTCTCAAAAAAAAAAAAAAAAAAAACAAAAAAACAAAAAAAAAAAAATAAATCTGAACTCCATAAGAAATAGACCCAGCTTGACAGAACACATATAAAAGCCCTGAATATGACCTTTTTTTTTTTTTTAAGATGGAGTCTCAAGCTGTTCCCCTGGGTAGAGTGCCGTGGCATTACAGCTCACAGCAACCTCCAACTTCTGGGCTCAAGCGAGTTTCCTGCCTCAGCCTCCCAAGTAGCTGGGACCACAGGCACCCGCCACAACACCGAGCTATTTTTTTTTTTTTGGTTGCAGCCGCCGTTGTTGTTTGGCGGGCCTGGGCTGGTTTCAAAACCGCCACCTTAGGTGTATGTGGCTAGTGCCTTAGCCACTTGAGCCACAGGCACTGAGCCTGAATATGATCTTTTTGAAAGGTATTATGACCTTTTTGAAAGGCATCCAACAATATCCATCAATATTTAAATGTACATAAATATGTACACTGGATCAATTACTTGATTCAGTGACTCTAAGGATTTGTCCAATATGTTTCCTTGCTAAATGCACCAGGGAATTCACCACAGTAAGGTAAAAAATTGGAAGTAACTCAAAATATCTGTAAAAGAGAGTTTAATTAATTATTGTATTTCCACATAATAGAATAACACTCAGCTATTAAAACACAATCTAGACTTCTGCTTCCAGCCAAGATGGAGTAACCGGGACCAGATATTCTCCCTCTGAAGAGTGTGCACACATATTTACAACCTGCGATGTGTCTATAACCATATAGAACAGCTAAGAGAGATCTGACACAGAGTCTCACTCTGTTGCCCAGACTAGAGTGCCATGGCATCAGCCTAGCTCGCAGGAACTTCACACTCCTGGGCTCAACTCACCCTCCTGCCTCAGCCTCCTGAGGTGCCTACCCACAACAGCTACCATTCACTCTGTGATTAGCTTCTGAGTACCTGCTAGATGCCAGGCGTGGAATCAGGCTCTGGGGATACAAAGGCTGCCCTGATAGAGTTTATATTCTAGCAAGAGAGACAAATATTTAATAACCATCTCATATTAAGTTGTATGATTTCAGTGGGGCTAAATACCACAGAAGAGAAACATGAGTCACTAGAGTTGGACACAATGGCAGATGGAAGATGGTGATTCCAGCGTGAGAGATCAGGAAGCTATATCTGAGGAAGGAATGTTTACACCAAGATCTAAAAAGCAGACGAGTGCTGGGGAGGGGGATGAGATGTGTGAGGCCACCTGGGACAACCTAAAGAGTTACTGGGAAAAGGCTCAAGAAGAGGCTGGAAGTGAAGACAGCTGGTAGAAGAAGGGATCAAACCAAGTCCCCTGCAGGGCTCTCTGGCTCAGATTTCTGATTCTATGGGCTAGGAATAAAAAACAGGATAAGCTTAGGGTGCCCCCTGCTGCCAGATGTGGTGGAACAACTCACCAATGAAGTGCTGGCTCAGAGGCTTGTTGTCTACCAGCTCCAGATGCTGCCAGACCCACTTGTAGTAGGAGGGGCACTCCCCAAGGTCTATCAGCCTCAGGACTTCACAGCTGCCCTGGGTGCATCAAGGGACACAACAATAGGGTTAGCCCAGGAGGTTCCAGGCAGGCCAGATAAGGAGTCTTACCCCTTTTCGTTTTGTTTGTTTAAGGCAAGTGGTTTCAGTTCCTTTTTTCTTTTCTTTTCTTTTTTTTTTTTTGAGACAGAGCCTCAAGCTGTCCCCCTGGGCAGAGTGCCGTGGCATTACAGCTCAC